CCTCTTAAATTCAACCTTTTCTGAGAAGATTGCCTTGTCTGTGTCAAATGACAATTCAATTGTGGCTTTGCAAATATTCGCAATTCGGTATATTATGCAGACTTTGAGCTACAATTTCTTTTTTTTTTTTCAGCGACAAAAATGACCGATAAAGAGCAGCTGACTCAGAGGGATACGAATGTACGGCAGCGTGAAGCGGAGAATTTACGAAGGATTGCGTTTTGCGGCGTAGCTGTTTCAACAGTGGCGACAGTACTATGCGTTATTTCCGTGCCAATCATTTACAATTATATGCAGCATGTGCAGTCTATGATGCAGAATGAGGTGGATTTTTGCCGATCACGATCTGGCAACAATTGGCGTGAAGTTATGCGTACGCAGGTTTGGAATCCTTTGGTTTTCACTTTAATACGGTACAGCTACAAAATTTGCGAGCAAATTTGTAGAAAACGTAGTTGCAGCTGATCGACAGCCATAAGATTTAGTTACATGTGACATTTTCCCTCGATTTGCAGATCTAACAGAAAATCTGGCTTACTTTGCAAATGCGACATATCTTTAAATCATCGCAAAACATTGTAATAATAATAATTATAATCGTGGTTACATTTATTATAATAATAGTAACGGTTATCTCCAACGTCAAAATTGCGCAAGAAATCGATGTGGAAATTTTTTTTTCTAGACTGCTGTTGCACTAAGACACGTCAAATGTGGTCCATACAACCGATAAGGTGACACATGGATTTATATTCATGCAAATTTATACGAAAATTAATATTAAATCATATTGGCATTGAAATTTTTCTAAAATGAGCAGGAAACCTACAAATTCATGGTCTTTGATTGGTTACTTTATTTTTTCCGGAAATGAAATAGAGAAAAATTAGACAGCAAAACTCAAGGACTGCAAGAAGTTCATCCGTTTTGTAGTATCCAGTACATCGTCTCTGGAGGGTTTTGTTTATTGCCGGATGCTCTTCCACAGATTTTGCCTATACCATTATTTAACAAAACAGAATTACAACCAATGCGCCGTGTGAACTTCCTTCGTGAAGCAAACTACGTTACAGATTTGTGCGACCATCAAGGGCATATCTATCGTTTTCGTAAGGGAAATTATCCATTATTAGTTTGGTAACAACACATCGGTTTAGTTCCTTGCCAAATCCGCTGATGAGTCACGGACAAAGCGAGCCGATGT